TCTTTGACAGGAGCCAGGGGCAGATAAATATTAATTTTCAAAATGTTTAGGGGCACCGTGGGCCAGATAGAATGGCCTGGTGAGCTGGATCCAGCCTGCAGGCCATATTTTGCCCACCCCTGCTATAGAGAATAGTGGGATCTGGGCAATATCACAGATCCCTCTCACAGCATTCATGCCTGGCCACCCATCCTTTCTAATTAGAGAAGGGAGCCCAGACTTGGGTGTAGCCAGGTTACGCCACTTTCTGTGAAGTACTAAGAGTTATACTTTGGAGTTGCACATCTGTCAGTGCCCAAAGGTTCCTTCCATTAGGGAAAAAATGTTTTTTTTCAAAAATACCGTGCAATATTTTTAGTTATCAAATCTGAATCTGATATTTGACAGCAATAAAATATGTTGAAAGATACTGGCTGCAAACAGCCAAAAGGCTGAAACAGTGGCTGATTTTACAAGCTTTCCATCAATGTGAGTGTAGGAACATCTTGGAGCCCTTTACATGAGATTTAAGGGGAAATTTTCATAACACCTAATTGACTTAGGAGAGGAGATGCTGCAGCCATTCAGTGATGTTTGGGCGCTCAAATGCCAAGAAATTTGTATTTAAACTAGAACCAAAAAAGGCCTATTTCATTGTTTGGATACAACCCACAAGTAAAACCAAAATCAGGAGGATTCAAATCTGTACTGGTCTCAACCTCACAATATTAGAAACCATTCCACAGAGCTGAGAGACCTCCCAAATTATTTAAACAGATGTCTTTCAACTGTCTTTCAGACTGGAAACCCAATTCTAATCAGGGAACAACAACATATAGTAACTCAGGTTTGAATTTCAAATGTCCAGGTTATATTTTGTGTGAATAAACCACTTGCTGATAATTATTCAGCAAATTAATTTTGACCAAATTAATTTGATAAGGATTCAGACAGCAAAAAAGGTGGAATTGGATAAGCTCAGCTCTAGTGTTCCGATTTAAGCTTCCAGCTTTGATCCATCTAGTAAATTTCACAGAGCTCCAATTAGAACCATTTATTGTACCATGACCTGAACTGTAATTAGCTGCATACAGTTCCAAATCAAATGGAAAATGAGGGCTAATGGCCATTGATGGGACTAATTTAAACACTGTTCTTCCTTGCAGTTTAATGTCCTGCTGATCCTTTGTGCCAAACCATTTTTAAAATATATAATAAACAAAACGTTTTAAAGAGCCCTTTCTAATCATTTTCACACACACAAAAGCACAGCAGCTACCCTAGTGCTCTTAGAGAATACATTTGGTATGAAAAATTCCCTGTGTTTATTTTAGGCAGGGGGAAGAAGTTATTTTTCCCTTTCTTTCTTTTTACATCACAATAGCATTTTACCATCCATCTCCCCCAGAGCTATGACAGTTATGTTTTAATCACTTCCAAATGCAAACAAAAGCCTGCAATGCCTAATCCAGTCTTGTTCTGAAACTTAGGGAAATAGGCAAAGAGAGATTAAAGCAACCATTTTTATGGAGACAATGAAAATATATTAAGCATCTTTTCTGAGGTGCTTTCCTGCCCCCAAACTCTGTTTTTTACACTACTACCATGAGGCAAAAGGCGGGTACACTGCTAACTACCTCTCTCAACTAACACAAGTGGGAGACCACACAAGTGTGACAAGAGAGGGAACAAGTAGGGAGACTGAAAGTATCCTAGACATATCTACTTTTCTGGCAGACAAGAAAAAAAGAGAAAGAAGTAACATATTATACTAACATATATATGTATATCTAGATAGATAGATAGATAATACGGTGAATAAAAAAAAAAACTCCACGCACTGAACTATAAATCTCACCTTGACCGTAAGCTATTCACTGGTGATTTTTTATTCTAAGAACTGTGGGGCAAACACCAGCTTCCTTTTCTGTGTTTGTACAGCACCTAGCACAATTGGGCTCTGGTCCATGACTGGGGGTCCTGGGCAACTTAATAGCAAACAGCAATAAAAAGTTCAGTTAACCATAAAAATAACAGAACAAAAAGATGACTGCCTCATACTTTCATTTGGTTACTGAAGTACCTTCCCATGTAAGGGATTTAATTCCTTAGCAGCCTCTTAGTTTCACACCAAGGTAGTGCTCAAAATCTTGTCCTGCTATGCTGCTGTACAAATGCCCACCGTCAGTGACATTTGTGTGTAACTAATGAATGTTTAAAAATAAATACGGTTTTCATCTCTCTCTCTTTCTGACAGGACAGCCCATGGTTCCTATACTCTTTGGCTAGGGACAGACATTACACATTAACTGGTTTAAGTGATCAGAAAGTGGTTTAAACCTGTAACAGAACAGATGTTCAGTGCACAGAAACAAGTCTGAAAATGGCTGAAACCAGTTTGAGATAAATATGGTTGAATGTAGTATCAGACATAAATGATTTGGCTCAAACCAGTTTATGCAAAGTCTGTCCCAGACCCCTTCCTGGTTTAACTTAAACCAGAGTCCTCCAGCATCCCAGATGCTTTGCAACCCTAGGCGGGGCTCCCAGCTCCAGCTAGGAGAGCTGGCCCCATCCCTCTTCTCCCTGACTGGAGCTCTGGCAGAGACGGCAGGTATAAGGTCCTGATTCTGTAATTAAAACTAAGCATTTGGATTCCACATGCTTATGAGGCACTGTGGTTCAAGTTTTCACCCTCTCTCTATTTTGGTCATGGGATTTTTTTTTTTAAACTGAAAATAGAACATAGCTAATGGACTAAGACTCAAAAGATCCACTGTAGACCAGACTGTAAGTGTTCCATTTGGCATTAAATTCAACAGCCAAATTCCTATTGCCTTCAACTCACCTGATTTTACCTTGGACTGCATGCATCAAAGAGTGTGCACCGTTCATTTCTTATGACTACTCTGCTTTATAGTAAGTTTTGCCCAAGTTTTTGCAAGCTTACTGAGCTTTGCTATTTACCATCATGAAAATAAAGTTTAAATCCAAAACGTGTTCAAGATGAGAAGTTAAAGAGGATACTTGCACATAGATTTAAGAGAGAAATTAGAAGCCCTCCACCCATGTGGTGATATTCCTACTGCACAAGTATATCAAGAGCTTTGGTTCTTCTCCTATGAATACAAGCACAAAGAAGGGGAGGAGTGGGTATGCAGGGTGGAGGATTCAAAACTGAAACAAGGAAATGCTTTTTCATGCTATGTACAATTACACTGTGGAACCCATTTGAACTCATTGCCACAGGAAGTGCTTGATGCCAAGAGCTTAGCAAGAACCACAAAGGGGTAGGAGGTTTATAATAAAAACAATGTCATGGATGGGAGATAACAAGACTTATGTTCAGAGTATAAGCCACCTCTAAATGTAAAAGACTAGATGAAACCCTATGAGAACATGTTGGGAAGCAAATTAGTTCACATCTGTCTCCTACTCATTTCTTGTTCCCTTCTGTGAAGCTTCAGGTACTGTCTGTTGTATGGCACTTACAACAAAATCATAGAAAAGTAGGGATGGAAGGAACCTCAAGAGGTCATCTAGTCCAGTGGTTCTCAACTTTTAGATTCAAGGCACCCCTCCATAACCTTTGTGAACTGAGTGGCACCCCATTTCAAAAACTCCATTTATTCATTACACTGCTTACCTTCTTGCAGAGGGGTCAGGCAGTGGGGGCAAGGAAGCAGCCAGGCAGGGAAAGCATGCATCTGCCCTTATCTGCTTATCTCCTCACATTTCCTGCAGCACTCTTCAAAGGATCTCGCAGCACCCAAAGGTGCCCTGCCATCCTGGTTGAGAATCACCAATCTAGTCCAGCTTCATGCTCAAGGAAGGATCATCCCTATTCAAGATACCCTATGCAAGTGTTTGTTTAACCCAGGGCTGTCCAGTATATGAGTGACCATCAGTCAAACACCCAATTGCTACCTTCTCTGCCAGACACATTTTCCCATACCACCCCTAGAGGTTGGCAGGAAGTGAAAGATGGAAGAGGGAGGTATAGCCCAGGGCTGTGGGGGAAGGTGGTGGCAACAGCAGCAAAAGCAGGAAATGGAGGGAGGCTGAAAGGACCAGCATCCAGACCCATGAGGGAAAGTGTAAGAAACCAAGAATGCAAGGGTGGCAGAAGCCTATGGGCTACAAGTTAAACACTTATGGGCTACCAGCTGAACAGTCCTAAACTGGTCTAAAAAATTACACAAACAGCCCCGTCATACAATTACCAGGCACAATGCCCCCAAACACCAAGAACATCCTAATCAGGTACAGCAGGGGAATGGGGGCACTGCCATCCCCATGTTGCTGCAAAGACAGAAAGTGGCTGCTAAAAATACACTCAAGAGATCCAAGGAAAAGGACTAAGCCCCTTGCTAAAGGAAAGCAACCCCCCTCCTCCTGAACAGTCCATGTCATTCCACACAGTTCCTATATTACTATGTTTTCCATGATCAGATCTGGCCTGAACGTCACCTCCCCCACATGAAGGTCCAAAAGCAGCCCTCCTCTGCCTTACAGAAATGGGGAGGGGCACTGCTGGGATTCCAAAATGAAAGTTTGTGCAGAGCTCTTTAGCAATGGCAGAATTTCAAACTGAAAAATACTATTTTTCGTCTACTTTGTCTCTGATCTTTCATCTCTTCACTCTCTTTTCTCAAAACCTGATAAACTTCCCAAAATTGTTTCCCCCAGTACCATAGTTGCTGGGAGCCTGATCTTTTATGTTGAGGGGAACAGCATTAACATCGCTGATAGATTCAAGCTAAACTTTCCCCCACACTTCACTATTAAGAAGGATAAGATTGCTGCCTTCATCTTCTCCCCTTTTCTACCTTAGGTGCTTTTCTCATCTCTAGTGCTGTTGGCCTCATTTCCACCAACCCTGTCCTTGTAAGTGACTTCACTATCCAGGACATCCTTTTCAGTCATACCTCTAACAAATCCCTAGTTTTGCAAAAGATTATATAAAGCAAGTTAAAGATACTTACACAAAAATAAACAAAAGGTAAGTGTCTGTGTCCTACCTTAATCAGTTCCTTGAACTTGGGATCTTCTTTGGAGTTGGGGTCGATCATAGTGCGTTCCTCATTCTCCTCTGCCCATTTAGAAGGAGAAGCGTTAGTTAGAGCCATGTCATGTGTACACTGCCAAGAACACCACAAGACTGTTATTTATAAGCCAGTCTCAAAGCTGATTAAGAAATGGCATAGTCTAGTCATTGTCCTACTGAGGGGACTATCCAGTGATCAAAGTGTGAGGCATTCTTTAGCGATACACTGACTGTTTCATTGCCCTAACTTCCCTAAACAAAGGTTGCCTAAACTGACTTTTCGCAGGTCACACTGCTTAGTGTATCAGACTGTAATGGGCACATCATGTGGGGTCCTTGAAGGCAGTAACCATGTCTCTCTCCCTATAGGGCTGAAGATGTTCTTCAGTCATCAATAAGAATCAATATGACCAGATTAAACTAGTCTGAAGAGCCCTGCAAACTCAGTGCACTGCCTTCTATCAATAGAGGGAATGTGATATTAGGATCATTCTCCATTCTCCTGCCAACTGCATTTTTCATATTCTGGTTCCAAAATTTCTAACTGGTAAGAACTGTGCTTATGCTGCCTCTACTGCCCATAAAACTTAGTCAACAGCTCCAGCAGAATCACTAAGGAAATGGACTAGGAATTAAATCAAATTAATCTGTGAATCGGGCAAATGCCCTGGGCATTCTCAGAGGTGTCCCTTCTATTGCCAAGGGGCTGAAAGGTGGACAATACTGAAAAATGCTGTTTTTCTTTTTGCCTCCAAAGACCAACAGGACAGGTGCTACTTAGGGCAAATGAAAGAGAATAAACAAAAAGGAAGGAGAAAACAAAACACACAGACAGAATAGGAAGTGGCATGGTACATGCTGAAGAGAGCAAGGGAGACACAAAATGGGAAGTCAAATGTGGCAAAACACAGTTAGAAGGCACAGGTTGGGGCAGACCTAGTAAGGCAATGTATCAGAACTGGGAACCAGCTTTAGTTCCCTCTGAGCAGCGTTAACACTGCAGCCTCTTGGCAAGGGAGTATGTACAGTGTGCGTCTCTGAAGAATGTCCAGGGTCAATAGAAAGTAAACTCTTAGCAGACTGTGGGGGCAGACCTAACTTGTGCTTTTCAACAACAACTGAAGAACAGAAAGCAGCAGTGGAGAGAGGTGAAACACTGAAAGGGAAAATCAAAAAAAAAAAGGAGGAAAAAAAAGGCAAACAAAAAATAAAGGAAGCAAAGAAAAGTAAGGGCAGAGAGAAAATTGGGAATGAACAAGTTAATTTTAGATGGGATACCTGTATTTGAGATTTCAGCTGCTAAGCCAACACTTTGTCAGATTAGCAACCAAAAGAACTCAAACAAAGCTTGTTGATATCTTTTAATCTGCTCCAAATGGACATATACATGCTCATGCACGCAATTCTACCTGAGACAGAGATAGGAAAATACAAGGGGTTTGGTGGGTCAACTCTGATACTGAGTTTTAAATCCTAATGCTCAAGTTCCAACAACAAACGCCTCAGCTTCTCCCCTTTTCTCACATTAACCTCTTTTGTTGCTCAAGTGACAGATATGATCTAGTTCAGAAGTTTCCATAACTTTCATCCAGGACACAGGATTTAGTCTGTCAATTTAAGCAGCCAAGCCTGTTTGGGGTGCCTTGATGTGCAAATGAAACAGGACTGAGTATCTCCCAGCACTTAGTAGGATTTTAGAGTTGGCCACTTGAATGGCAGTATCATGATCACAAAAAGAAATGCTGATGGGCTGCCACCCAGCTGGTGTATATATGAAACTGTGCAATCAATTCAGGGTTCTTAAACCTACCTAAGTTTCTGGTTAAGGGCTCTAAAGGATATATCAGCCGCACAAACCTCCTGAGATCAGAAAACTCTTGCAATTTTTTTCCACAAACCTAGAGAGGCAGTTTCTCATTCTTTAGTTTTTCAGTTCTTTTTGGCACTCTACTTCCTCATGGGATGAGTCAAGCTGTACAGCACTAAATTACACCCAGTCCACACACAGAAGCTGAAATCTGGTAGAGAGGACTTCCCCATGCAAGTGCACCACCCCTGTTTCAGAGAACCCTGACCTAGATCAGCTAGTGATCATGCTTTTCCCATGAGGGTCACAATGAAGTGGCTCCTCAAGCCTCTGAAATCCTTCTCGGGCCCTCTTACGCCCCTTTTAAATTGATCATAAGTGCGTAGAAGGGCTCAGTTTTGGCTCTACATACAAAAGTCTGATGGGATACTTGGTTTGCTTGAGTATCTATTTTCAGGGGGGAATGCACGGGATAGGATCAAAACTTTAGAGATCAAGGCATGAGAGCAACCAGACAGAATCAGACCAATCTTCTATCTAAACTATAGAGGTGCACTGATATATCAGTCCATATTGGATCTGCACCAATAAAATGAAAATTGATTCATAGATTCATAGATGTTAGGGCCGGAAGGGACCTCAACAGATCATCGAGTCCGACCCCCAAATAATTGATATTATCAGCAATCAGCTTTTTTTGGCCAGTGTAAACGATAACGTCACTGATAAATGCCGTGTGCATGCATGCAGCTACAGCATGCATATGGCCAGGAATGCAGGCCGGCAGCTTAGAGAGCAGTGTCTAGCCAGTAAGTCTGTTGGGGGGAAGGGACGTGGGGATGGGGGGGAAGGGTGTGGGGGGAGCAGATCAAGACCCCCACAGTGAGGAAAGCAGTGGGATAGGGGCAGGCACTGCCCAGCCAGGGTGGGGCAGGGTGCGGGACGGAGCTGTGGGTGGCTCGTCTGGGAGGTGGGGAGGAAGGATGGCTCTTCGCTGCTGTCCACACTCCCAGGGGTGGCATGGGGGACATGTGCCCCCCAGTTTTGTGCACAGGGTGAGGGGGGGCTGCCTGCTTCAGGGTCAGGGCCAGGGGCTGTGCTGGCCTCTTCCTGTCCCAGCACTGCTGCTGCCTGCTCCACCCCAAGTCTAGCCCCAGCCCAGCCCACCCACTGGGAAGACAGCACAGTCCCTGGCTCCAAGCCTGCAGCAGGCAGACCGCCCAAGCACAAATCTGGGGGAGGCACATGCCCCCCATGCCTCCCCCAGGCTGTACGCAGCAGCGGGGAGCTGCCCCACCTCCAACCCCTCCATGCTCTGTGGACAAGCCGCCTGCGGCTCCATCCCACCCTGCCCCAGTTGGGCAGTGTCTGCCCCTGCCCCACCCCACTCCTTCCCTCACTGTGGGGGGCCTCAGCCTGCCCCCCCACGGCCTTTCCCTTCCCCGTGCTCCTGACCCCCCCAGTCTTACTATCCAGATGCTGCTCTCCAGGCTGCTGGGCTGCATGTCAGCTATCGGATCAGTATCAGCCGATATGGCTGGTTAATAATCAGCCATCAGTATCAGCCAAAAAAATCTTTATTGTTGGTGCACCCCTACTAATCTAGTATCCAGCCTCTCAAAACAGTTAGTATTAGAAGCATCTGAGGAAGGAGTTACATTTCCAAAATGGCCAATGATTGAACAGCATATCTACAAGCTAAGTTTCTTCTTCAGTCAGCCCAGCCAATGCCTCATTCTTTTGCCCAGAAGAGTGAAAATGTTTAGTTCTGATTTCTTTCCCTGTGGATTTTCTCAGCCTCCATATAATCAACTCATCAACTGAGCAAAGATTATTTGCTTCAGCAGTGTTCTGCTACTGCACTCCACAGGTTAAATTATAGATTGTTAAGAAGGCTGAATACAATTTACTTTTATAAGTTTTAAAATGTGTGGCCCGCCTCATTGTCTTCATGTTCTAAGATAAACAGAACATTTTAGTTTTACCTCTTCTATGATGTCTGTTATTTGTATACCTCTACTCTGGACTTTTCTTTTTATTTTATTTTAGGATAAAGAAATGCAATAAAAATTGTGAAGCATTCAGAAATTAAAAGTTATATGGGTCAGATCATTCTAAAAGGCAGGCACTCTTTTCTCATTCTTTACACATCCCTGTTTATTGACCACAGCTGCACAAATGAGAAAGTGATGTTCTTCTCTCCCTAACAATCCAGTGGAAAAGTCAACTCTCTTGTAAGCTTCTAACATCCTTGTGTGGTAGTTCACTGCTGTTTAAATTTCCTGTCATCACTTCTAATTTGTCTCTTACATCTATGTGCAACAGTTCATACTCACTTAAATTGAGTTCAATTGACTGGATTTCTTTTCACCACTTATGCACACACTGGGCACGTCCAGACCAGCACGACCATGAAGTATGTGGCACCGCAAACATGCCTGCAGTGCCACATACCACACAGTCAGGCATTCTCCACACTGCAAAGGCGCACTGCCCATGTGTGCGCTGCTCCAGGGGGGGTTTTTTGACCTCTGAATATCCACAGGTCAAAAAAACTCACAGAAGAAAAAACGAAGCAGCATACGCACAAGCAGCGTGTGCTTCTGAAAAACGGAACCAGGCCACCTAGAGCCGTGCTGTGGCTGCCAGTCAGGCTCCACCCAGCAAGATCACCACTGCTGCAGCCCCAGGAGGCCACCAGGACCCCAGATAAGGCTGCTGGGGCCAGCCCAGTGCTGCCCCCAGCCTCCCCTACCACTCCTAGGGTAACTTGTCACACACCTAAGCACAGGCATTTCCCAGGAACAAGTAGCTGTGGCACAAGGTGCGCTGCTGCTACTTGCCCCCAGGGAACCAAACATGCGTGCTCATCTGGTTGCAGCCACTGGGGTCATACTGACCCCTATTTTCAAACACTAGCCTCCAGCAGTAGCAATACTGTACCTAATAAAGTATCTTCAGGATGAATGTCAATGGTGCTGGGAGACATTGGGGCATTGATGGCATTTTTCCCCTCTTCCTGCAGGTCACTCACTGAAGAGAAAGAAACAGAGACTTTAGTGAAAACAGTTTGTATATTTATATAATTTTTACCTACAATAATAGAAGAAAATCTCTACAAGACCCATTTCTAAAGGAGTTCATAGTTTATGCAAACAGGAATTGCAGATGCAGAAAACAAACAAACAAAAACATCAATAAAACAAACTCAGCCAGTATGCTTTCATGGAAACCCAGGGCTGAAAGGGACCTCAATGGGTGTCACAAGTGACATGAGTAGCTTCATCTATGGCATGTGGCAGACTGGGGAGGGGACAGCACAGCACAATGACAGGGCAGAAAACAATGCATCAAAATTGGGCAGGAAGCACAGGAGGGAAGCAGAAAACAGAGCAGCAGGTGGTACAGGGAAATGGGATCAGAGTGGCATTTGGGGAAGGGTGAGGGGCTAATTTGTGGCATGCCTGCCAGAATGGTTGGCCCCCGCTGCTCTAGTGAGTCCAAGACTCCTGCACAGAAGCAGGCTGAGCTATTCCAATATTATCCCTATCAAATGTTTAGCCAACCTCTGTAATCCAACCCCTTTATCATTGACTTCATTGTTTACCTCTGGATCTTCTCCAGTTTCACTACACCTTACCTAAAATGCAGGCCCAGAACTGTGCACCTTACTCCAGCTAAAGCATGGAGTAATCTGCCAATTTGATCAGAAAACCTAATTCTGGCATCCAATTCACTAATGAAACAGCACTGAACCCAGCATTGACCCCTATGAACCCTATCTGAAACCTATTTCTGTGACAGGAATCATTTTTAGTTCCTTATTCTGCAAAATCATAAAGCTAACTATCTGCATAAGTTATTTTGCAGTACATTCAAGTCTAAAAATAACTTGCAAATTCCCATTGACCAGGCCAGGAAGTGCAGGCCCTCTCTCTGTTGCTGAGGTATATTCTTTATATGAATCTCCTTAGTCACATAGCTGTGCATGGAGTAGATGGGCAAACAAAACAGTGATGTCCTTTTGTGGCAACTATAACTGCCTTTTCAACTATAGAGCCCCAAAGATTAAGTGTGACTAGAACCAATCAAAATCTCAAAACAGCACAAGAAAGACTCATGAAATAAACAAGATTTTCTACTGATGTTATAAAGAGCGATCCAGTATCATCAACTCAACCCAAATCTGGAAGTTACAAACAGAAGCTCAAATCCCAAGCCCCCCACTGTATTATGATCTTGGCCAAGTTGCTCAGTGACTCAGTGTTACATTTTAGCCAAAATTATGGAACTGACATCAGAATACTGAGCTTCCTCTCCCCAGTACTAGTTGGAAAAATCCTTTAGTGTCTGTACACAACTCCTAAAAAAATAAAAAGAAAAGATCTGTAAATGATACTGTCATGGACTCATAAGCACTCTGAAGTTCACAGGGATGGTAAGATCAACAACTTCAGTTAAAGGAGAAGATATATTTGAAGAAAGGGGAAACTGTACCAGGGAAAGGGGAAACTCTGTCATTTTGGTAACCTATGCCTACTCAACATGGTGTTTTGTCCGCCCACAGTAGTGGTCAGAACATACAGAAGTTGAGAAGACTGCTGCAGCCTTGGCTAATGGTTGGATCTTCTAACTCAAGCAATAGAATTGATGGTTTCAAGATTCAGAGATGCAAGTTTCTATTCCTGACTCATTCCTACAACAACTTACCTTGAAGCACAATTACCCTGCCCTGAGCTGAACTGGTGAATTGCTCCAAAACCCAAGTTATATCTTTACACACCTTGAATTTTGGTCAGCCTCCCTTGCTACTGTCATTTTCAGTTTTCAGGTCCCTCTGCACATCATGATCATGGCAGAGTGCAAAAATTCAACTTTGAAACTATAAGGGGGGGGGGGGGGGGGAGGAATTGGCCCTCGGGGTATTTCAGGCTCAGAATCATCATGGAGCAAAACAAGGAGTTCCACATAAATTGGGAAATGACCCAGGCTAGTCCGTTTCCGAGAAAAAAGCTTAGCTCCCCAGAATTGGATCACTCCTCCCCTTCCGCAGAGTAAAATCAACCCATGCTCCATCTATTTCTATGCATACTGCACAGACTCAAGAGCACTCCCAGCACTCTTCACATCCCCTTCTCTATATAGAAAGAAAAGTAACAAAAAGGAGTCTAATGCCCTAAACAAAAACACGATATACCTCTGCTCAACAACTTACAGGCATCCAAAATGTTTAGAATGGTTAACATGTTTCTTCCTGATACTTCCAAGATGTGAGCTTCAAGATGTGGTTTATAGCTGGATATCAAGCATGTATAGTATCCCTCAGCGTAAAATATTCATCTTATATTTCTGTCTCACATTTTGAGGCCCTATGGCATACGAACCACATTAAAAAGGTGGACAGACAATTTCACCAAGGCTAAAGATACAAGCTGTTAAGACTGTTATAACTGTAAGATTCTTTAATGATCCCAATGTAACAACATTGCTTCAAATGTAACCTTTCAATGAGTGTCAACTCTTGGGTGATTTAGCTAACTAGTATGGCTACAGGATTATGCAGGCATAACAGATTACAACAGCTGACATGTTCCTGAACAGTGGCTCTCGTTCCTTTTTAAAGTGGTTAAAAGGTACAGTTGTCCAGTCCCAAACTGGCTTTCCAGATTTAACATGCTAAAACAGGCATCAGCAAAACCACTGGATCTGACCTGCAGACCTTAGGCTTTAGCAGCAGAGGGCTGCAAGGTGCAGGTGCTCTCCTCATGCCACTAGTGGGACAAGTGCTGTCTATGTACCGTGGAGACAAGTGGCAGTGGTGGCTGGATCCTACCACCCGCCTGTCTGCTACCTCTGACGTGCAGTGGGCCATTCTAGCCTACAGCCAGAAAGGGTACCCTAACCCTTTGCTAGAAGCACATCATCTGCCACTAAGGTCAATCTTGCTTGCAGAAAGCATGCAATGTAGAAAGGGGGCAGCAGAAGATCTTTTCTTGAGCATGGAATTCAATGTGTGCATTTTAGGTTTTAACCTTATCAATATAAATTTAAGGAAAATATATTGAGGATTACTTGATTTATACGTATATTCATACATAAATAACAATGTGCATTAATTCACACACACACAAATATATATATGTTTAGAAAACCCTCTAAACATAATCAGGGAATAGAAACATCATAAGTTATACTGAACTTGTTTTCATAGCAGGGCATCACCCTTCCTTCATCTGAACACTGCCAGTCTAGGCCTCAGGCCTCCTAATCCTTCCTTTCGCTAATATTCCCACTTCCTTCTTAATGTAAGGACTATGCATGCAATAAGGGAATACTTTCAAGTAATGTTTTGAGGGATCCTGACAATAAAAGCAAAGACTCTGAAAGCTGCCTAGAATCTGGATACTTGATTCCCATTCAAAGCATATCTCTTTTAAAAACCCAAGCCAAATTTACTAGCTGTTTGTGCCTGAAATTTCACCTTCCTTATTAGCATTTACATCACCATGGTAAATGATGCTCAAAAGTCCTCTGCCAGGAGCAGGACCTGTGGAACCACAGAAAAGTGGTCCCTTGCCAGGAGCAGGGCCCTGGCAGGAGCAGGTCCCCTGCCAGGAGCAAGTCCCCTGCCAGGAGCAGGGTCTGTGCAACCACAGAAAAGTATCAGCCCTGAGAGCTTAATGGGGACTTCCCTGGGAGCTCTGTTAATAAATACTAATCACCAACGTGCATTTTAAAACAAGATAAATTTTAAATGTGGCTTAGTCCCAAGAGTTCAATGTTAAAGGCAACACCGATCGAGTAGATAAGGAAGTGGTCATTAAACCAAACAAAAAAACTAAACAAAAACCCCCAAGAAGAATTTTTAATGGATAGATCTCCCTGTTTATCCATGAACTGTTTAACTCAAAAAAAGTTAAGGTGAAATTAAAAAAAAAAGATAATTCTCCCCACAAACACTCATGCACAATTCCTTTTTGCACACAGGGCTGAAAACACACATTTGCTCTTAAAATCCAGTTTGTTAAGCCAAGTCCACAAGAGCAAAAGATTCTACCCTATATCTAAAGGAAAGAAGCAAGAGTCTAATGAGAGGAAAGTAAAGCTCCTTTCAGTAAAGCAGGCTTTAAAAGCCCATGACAGAGTGCCTTGGTTACAGAAACCCAGAGGCTCACAGCCAGGACTACTCCACACAGGGAGCCTAGAAACACATTTTGCACTTGAATTCTTTCCTACCTCCTTTTTTACGTTTTTGACAAAGCAGCCCTGCCATTCTGGATCCCTTCAGCACACAGTAGTCTGTAGCATGCTCCTGCAGCCCAAATGTTAAAGACAGGCAGCCTGGACAAGGGACTGGCATGCCTAGCTATCAAACCTGGGTTAATTTGGTCTTGGTGACAGGGAGAGGCAGCAAAAACCGCAGGGACTGTGTATGTGGATGTGTTGGGAGAGCAGGAAAAAACAGGAGGGGGAGGAAAACAAGGTCTCTGTCTGGTAGCCTGAAATCTGAGAAGGATGATCTCCTATAAGCAGATTCAAATCGTTTTCTGCCTTACTGTGAACTGGGAAGCTAGAAGCCTAGTCACACTGACCGCTGAGAGGGCAACAGGATGCACAGGATTTTCCAAAGGCAGCATTTTGGAAAGTGCTATCAAGTCATCTTCACCCCACCAGCCAAAACACAATCAAGTGAGAATTTTGCCTTGTTAAATGGAAAACTCAAGTGAAGAAGGAATGAGACCTATTCAAAAGGCACTTGATCAGGTCTGCAGGCAAAGGCTTATTATTAGCAAGACTTTCTATTTCCTTGTGCTGCTATGACTGCTTTGAGGTTTAAGCTCCAGGTATACTGTAACATTCTGCATGCCACAGCTTCTGAAAATAGGAAGCTGTCCCTTGACAGCAGACAAAAACGAAGCTACAAAGTTCAAAGCAGGATCATTCACAGGTCTAGTGCAAATCCTCAAGCATTTGTCTGGGTATTCTCAGTGCTGCATGAACACAAAATAAGTACTCACAGCTTTTGTTCTAAG